TATAATATATAATATTATATATATATATATATATATATATATATATATATATATATATATATATATAATATATATGTATAATAATATATAATATATATTAACAATGCCAAGATTGGATTTATATAAGCTTCGCATAGTTTATACCATAATGTATACTTCAATAAAGAGGCGTACCTAAAAATTTCTCCTAAAAGTATTTTTATAACATCAAGAACTATAAAATAAAAAATCATAAATCGGTCATTTCGACTGCTTTGGTAGTTCTAATGTCCAATAGCGTTTCGAACGAAAGTTGTTTGGTACAAAGAGGAACATACGCGAAAACAGTTTCCTGCTATTTTCCTATGGCTATTTCTTGCTATTTCTTCGGCTATTTTCCTCTCCGCTATTTTCCGTTTCGAAAACTTCCGAAACTCGTTCCCAATCTCTCTATCGCGAACAAACACACGCCTATACGTTTCATTATGTAGCAGATAACGTGCATTCGCGTCTCGTATTATCGACTATTATTTTTGCGATCCGCTAAATAATACAGAACATGGCGCGCATGAATGGGCACGTGCATAATGAATGAAGAAACGCGAACCGTCGGCGGCATGCTGAACCCGATGAATGAAAAGCCACGTGAAATTAACAGGGGAGCCGAACCTGTTAATCCGAGGCATTGAAATAAAAATGGAGTATAATTACTCTCATCTTGCGAATGCCCAAATAATTATAGAATCGAAGTTCCTTGGTTAAACCAATATACTGTGCAAACGAGCATCGCGCAGCCTGTTACTGTATACTTTTCAATATTTCCGAACGGTGAATTACCGATTCAAATGGTGCGTACGGTTTCCGTTCGCAATGACTTTTTATTCGGCGTATGGATAACGAGAGCAGAATTCTGAAATTTTTAAAACCATCTTGTCGTTTCAACATTCGTTCGCTAATTTTTGCTTCGCATCGTCTAAAATCGGGAATAAATGTGCGTTCGGCAGGAGCAGGAAAGGGATGAGGATTAATACGTCGCGAAATAATAACAGAGATTCAATTAATGGAACGGGGGCATTACGGTCGCGGCGATAAGATCGTGATGGTTGGAACCGCGAAGCTCGCGAGGATTTAAACGGGACTGATATTTCCGTGATTTACCGTGGATCCCTTGATCAACACACCGAAACCATCGGCATCAGGATTAAAAACCGTGTGCGCGCCGCGCCGGTTTCCGAGGGATAATTTATTCAAGACGGAAATAACTTTCCGCGTGTAATGCAATTCGCGCCGGCCGCGCGGCCGAGCGTGGGCGGTTTTTCATAAATCCTTTTCCGGCGGCGGCGGCGCGGCGGTGCGGGCCGGGTCGGGCCGCGTCGGGCTCCTGCGAATTTCGACGGTGGACGCGAGTAATTGCGTGTTATTTCGGCCGGTCGATCGGCTTTTGTTCAGAATGCAGGGAACAGCGGACGGTCAGCCGTCCCGATCCCTCCGGTTTCATGCGGTAGAACGGATTAGACGGATTTTCGATGCCGGAAATTCAGCACCCGCCCCCGCCGCGGCTCGCTTAATATTCGCCCCGGCATTTTTTTTTACCCCATACCTCCCCTCCCGTTTCTCCCATTCCCTTGCACGGCCGAACCAGGACCGGGCCATGTATATGTATCGGGAGACACATAACCGGTCGCGTTTATCAATTTTCCACGGTAGTACACCGCATGAACTGTACATATTTTTTGATCGACCGGCAACGCTATCCGCCGCCGCGGCCCGCCGCGCCGCGTCGATCTCGACCTGTTTATTTACGATTTCCGGCCGCCTGCGCTTTTATTTGCTAAATAATTTACCGACCCGCTCGGCCGACAGCGAAGGAGCTTTCAGGCCGAAAAATCAGTTTCCCGGTTTTCAGAGATTCGGTCGCGCCTGTTTCCACGAATTA